CACAGAATAAACTTCCAAGTTTGAGCAAAAGGAGAAATGCTGACCAGGGCCAACACATCAGTCCGGCCTTCCTTAACCCGGTGTCCTGCAGAGGGGTTGGACATCTCCCAGCATCCCCATCAGAGAACAGTGCTCCAACCTGTCTGGTGTCAGAGAAGGCTACTTCAGTCCCTGAAGCAGAGCTGAGAGGTTTGACAATTTGGTGAGAGAGGTATTTTTCAAGACATTAAAACGGATTTTTTTTTCTGGGTGACAGTAGCCTGCACATTCTCAAGGGCTGAGGTGTCTGCACTACAGCAGTGCACTGGGGGAAGTTTCTTCAGGATCGCAGCAGGAGGAAAATGGGCTGAAACCTGCCTTGGTGATGGCTGCACCTTGGATCTTCTCACCCACTGCTCCAAGCTTGATGGGATTGGCATCTTTGTGACACTTGCACATTATTGTGCAGGGGGACTCAGGGAGGAGGCCTTCTCAGTGGTAGCCCCACAGTTGCAGGATGACCAGAGGTCCACTTAGGCCAACCTTTGTCACCTTTTTAGCACTAGGTAAGGCTGTCCTTGACTTCCAGGTGCTCCATGCAGTTGATGGAGCATGCCAATTGCTTTAACAGGTAAAGGTTTTTAATTGAAATTTGAAATTTTGAAATATTATGGCATAATTTGATGGAAGCTGCATTTGATGGAAGCTGCATTTTATGCTGATTTTATGCCAATTTTTATGATCGTATCTGTGACTTGCAGTGAACTGTGCAGAAAATTTTAGCTATGGAAATTAATACTTATGCTAATTATACTAATACTAATACTTAGACTGCAAAGATATATTCAATGATATATCTAATTTTGCCAATAGTTTTCATCATGAAATAGCCAAGGCACCTTCCTAAACTGGGGAAAGGTAACCACTGGAGTCCAGCAGGGTTCAGTCTTGAGTCCAGTGTTCTTTAACATTTTTATTAATGATTTGGATGAAGAAGCACAGGGAACACTTATCAGTTTTACAGGTGACACAAAACTGGACGGTATAGCTAATACCCTGAAAGACAGAAAGAAGATTCAACGTGATCTTGGGAGGGCTGAACTGAAAACAACAGAATGAATTCAAGAGGGACAAATGCCAAGTTGTGCACCCAGGAAAAAGAAATCACATGCATTGTTACAAGATGGAGAACACTTGGCTCAACAATACTGCAAGTGAGAAGGATCTTGGAATTGTTGTATATCACAAGCTGAATATGAGTCAACAATGTGATGTGGCTGCAAAAAGTGCAAATGCTATTGTAGGTTGCACTGATAGAAGTATCACTTCCAAATCCCGTGAAGTACTAGTTCCCCTTTACTCAGTGCTGGTTAGGCCTCATCTGAAGTCCTGTGCACCACAGTTTAAGAAGATGCAGACGAGCTGGGAAGGGTTCGGAGGAGGGCAATGAGGATGATCCAGGGAGTGGAAAGTTCTGTGAGAAGAGATTAAGAGAACTGGGCATGTTAAGCCTGGAGAAGAAAAGACTGAGGGGAGATGAGAGATCACGCTAAAAGTAACTGAAAGGATGTCACACAGAGAAAGAACAGGATCTCTTCTTGATCATCCCAGAGTGCAGGACATGGAAAAATGGGCTCAAGTTACAGAAAGCCAGATTCTGGCTAGATACCAGGAAAATTTTGCTGATTGTGACAGCAGTACGACAATGGAACCAATAACCTAGCGAGGTTGTGGGCTCTCCCACACTGAAGGCACTCAAGATACAACTGGACAGGCATCTGAGAGGGATGGTTTAACTTGGAGTCCTGCACTGAGCAGGGACTGGACCTGATGGCCCTCTGGCCCTTTCAACTCTACTATTCTATGATTCTATGAAGTTCAAATATGTGCAACCAGGTGGTGTAGTGGTTAGAATGCCAGAGAGGGACTTGGATGATCTGGGTTCTAAGTCTCCACTTGGCCATGAAATTCACTGGGTGACTTTGGGACAGACACTATCACCCTCACCTACCTCACTGGGTTGTTGTGCAATGAAATGGAGCAGAGCACCTCCATGTAAACTACTTTGCGTTCCCAGCAAGAGGGAGCATATAAATGTAACTCTGTGTGTGCATGCATGCACATCTTCATTCTCTGATTTTGGGTGGGCTACTCTTTTCTCCACTTTCTTTAACAGAAAAACAGAAATAATTTTGATCTACCTTACCTGCTGAGTGAATGAATCATGTAGGACCCCCAGGGATGGAACACGGGCAGCCCCCATGGCCGGTTTTACAGCACAGGGAAGTGGGCTGGGGAATTTTCCAAAAGAGGGATTTCTCCAGTGCTTTATTTCCAGAAAATTTTCCCTTTCATAAGTTCATTAATGAAACTGAATATAGGGCAAACACAATACTTGGAAAGCTTTGCAGTTTCAAATTTGTAGTTAATGGTTTTTGAGTAATTATTCCTAACAAGGATGAGATAATACACACGAGTCATTGAAATACATACAGAGTGAAATTCAGAGTTAAGTGGAACTAAGGAATAATGACAAAAACAAACAAGCAAGCAAACACCCTGCGCCGGCCACCTTAGTGGGAGAACCTGAACTCATGGAAATAGATGAGTTCTTTCTAGAATACATTATCTCTGGTTAACTTTAATTTGGTCAAATTAATATCTGTTGCAGGGCTTTTTTTCTTGTACTTGTCCTGCCACATGCAGTGCCACCTAAGTCCTTCCTAGTACCACAAATGCTGGAAGTTGCAAGACTTTTTTCCATTTAAGCCTGCACAGCACTTCACCTTTAGTGTGAACAATTCTCAGAATGTTTCATTTATATTTTTAATTTTAAATAATATAAGGAAACTGCATGCTATATTTACAAATATTATAAAGGTCTATACAACCTACAATTTAAACCAGATTAAGTATGTGGGTATTTCATATCAAATACTTGTGGTGTATCAGGACAAAAAGCAACATAAGTTACTTTTTAGAAACTTTGTTTACTAAATGCAAATAAAATAACAAGGCCAAATTAGTTCTCTGTAAAGTATCAGAACATTTTTTGAAATAAATAAAAATGTCTCTATGAAAAGCACCCTTATTTGCATTAGACATGACTGGCATGCAGTATTTTTAAAAGTTGTAAAACTTTGTATGCAGATTAATTTTATGTTGTTCAGAAAAAAAATTCTGGGAAATTTTCCTGTTGATATTCTTCTGAAAAACCTATATCACTATTGCAGCTGCCTTGTCTCTGCACACAGTTTGCCACCATGGCAATTTTGCAGACAAATAAATACTTGCAAATGGGAAGTTGTGCCTTGTTCTGGTTGCCAACAAGGAACAGCCTGTTGCCACACCTCAGTTTTTTTGGCAAGCTGGCCACTTTTGTAGCCACAACAAGTTCACCACCCATCTGGGTGGGATGGGGGAACCCCCAGTGGAGCTAAAGTTTCCCACCTCTGAACTATACAGATAAAAGACATTACAGGGCCTTATAGAGAGGCAGTCACCTCCAGATATGCTGCCTGATCAGTGCTTACTCAGAGACATCAAGGTATTTTTTTTCCTGGGAACATCTTGACAAAAAACTCTGTGTATTCAGGAGCTCATATAATGCAGACATTTCATTGATTTCTCTCTCTGTCGTTTTTCTTTTTTAATGATAAAAACCCTTACATAATGCATTGTGAATATCGGTTTGTTCTGGTAATATGAATAATAAAACAGTATGTCATTAGCCAATCTATAAAATCAGAACAGAAAATGTCTCTCTGTGTGTCAGATACTTTCCAATGGCATCCATATGCTAAATAATGATTAAACAGTTTGGGTGATGTAGCACCATCTATTTGGCCTGGCACTTTTCAGGGAATGACACAAATTCCTGCCCCGCAAAGCTGACTTCCAAAACAGCCTTCCCCAGCCTTGTACTCTCCAGATGTGTTGGACTGCAATTCCCATCATTCACAACTATCATTTCCTCCCAGTGACTGTTGCAGTCTGGAGTGCACCAGGTTGGCGAATGGCTGATGTAACCTTCAAAAGAGGGAGAACCAAGGAAGACGCGGGAAAGGGAGATGGGCTCAAGCAGAGAAGCAACACGGACTAGGTTCTTTGCACACGCTGGACTTAGTTGCGGGATGGCAAAGGTAGTTCCTACCGTGGCCACGCCATCTTTTTCAACTAGTTAAGGGTGACGGACCAGGAATAAAAACAACGCTTCCAAAATTAGGAAGCAGCTACAATTTGAAGGCCATGCTCTGAAATCCCCTCAGGCCCAGAAATTCTGCCTGGACTCATATGGCTACCTGAGGGCAGCAGGTGATGAAGCACTCCAAGTCCCACTAGAGTTAATATTGTTTGCTGAAGCACCCTTCTGTTCTTGTTTTTAAAAACATGTCATGGTCAGACAGCAGAGGGGTGGGTTCCATTTTATTCTTGTGGTTGCACTGATGTGTTAAAAGTACAAAGCTGCTTTTTCTCTTGCAGTCATGAGAGTGCAGAACAAGCAGCCAAGTGCAGTTCTCCTGAACAGGCCTTCTGGTGTTCTTCAGATGGTCACACATCTTTAGTTAGTAGCATTTGCTTACTACCAGTAAAAGTTTTAAGTAACAACATGCTGATAGTTTTGGCATTTTGGCCTTGCCTCCATTGCTTTTTGGTTCCATCAGCCACTGGAATGTGAACATCTTAGAAGTGGAATCTGGCCCTCAGATTGAATGAAGATGACATATTAGGAATGCACAAGCAGTTATAATGTATGGAATAAGTGGGCAGAGTGACAAGAAATGTTAATTTTGTGCTTCACAACAGAAGTAAATGGGGGTATTAAATCCCACCTTCAGCACTGCTTCTGCATTGAGGATTCATTCCCATCCCACTCAAAAGGCCCTGAGTTCAGATTTTAAGGAATACTGTGGAAGACTGGATTCTTTCAGAATGTCAACACTTTTCATTAATACTAGCCTAGTTGTATGCCCAGGGCAGGCGTAATTTGCTATTTTAAAAAGCGGTGATTTTTTCCATACCATCCAGTTGAAATCCCCTGGGGACGAAACCAGTTGCTTCCATCGTAGGGATCTCATCTTCTTCCTCATTGGAGACATTGGGTGGGAGCGCTCTTCGCCCACTCAGGCCAGCGGGGACTACCTTTTTCTTCGGTCTCTCAGCAGCCACAGGTTCAGTCATTGCAATTATCTCACTGATATCTTCTTTAAAGAAAGAAAGTAAGGAGGGGGAAAAGGGGGGAAATGCAAGTGAGTCAACACTGTATCACACATGTGATGCTACCAAGCTGGGATTTGGGTAGACTTTGAAAAGATATAGAAAAACAGAAGCCTAAAACTTCCATCCAATGTCAGATTGCTGCCCTAGGGGTGTGTGTGGTTTTTTTCCTGGTGGCTGTTGCACAATAAAACATAGCATGGAAGAAGATCAGCTTTTTAAATGATCTCTCAGAAAGTCATTGAATGCCCAACTTTTCAAAAATCTCATGCAATACAACATCATCATTTTTATTGATGATGATGATGGGGGAAAGGTTATTAGGAAAGTTAAGTGATAGGCATTTAGATACAAACCTACAATTATCCTACAACCCTGGATAAGCTAGTAAAAAAAGCAATATATCAATATATATTTCGCATTTATGCATTAACTAGATGGAACTTGTTATTCCTGTATCAAAGCAGGGGTGTGACCATATGGCATCTTTCTGGAAATTCCTCTGGAAATCTCTCAGAGGATGCATACAAATTGAGAGAAAGGTCAAGCTCCTTTCAAAAATCAAGTCAAGCAGCCATACAAAACACAGACAAAATCCTTAAGAGCATTTCAACATTCAGCTGGCTAGATGAGAGATACCTTGTATTTTGATGATCTCCTCCTGGTTCCTCCCCGGTTTCACAAGTGCTGCAAACTCTGGCAAAAGATAGGGTTGGGCCCTTGTTATATATGGCCTCTGTCATCCCCACCCCTTCCTCTATCCCCTCCCCTCCATGCCTGCAACAGCAGAGTTACTCTCAATCAGCAGCAGCAGTATAGGTTCTTTTCCTACCCTCCCTTGCTTGTCCTTCCACCACAGCAAGAATGTTCAGAGGAGCTGGTGAGAAGTCCTGTTCTCAGAGGCAATTAGAGCAAACCTCAGAGGCACACCTGGGAAGGGGGTTGGAAGTCTCTATAGCCATGCTAAAATACAAAGAACAATGGCTTCCTGAGCCATGAAAACAGCTTTTACATCCCTGTTGGATGATGCGTCATCTATAGAACAAGACAGTCCCAAGACCAGCATGTCTTCAAGGTGAGGTCAGAGGTAGACAAAGCAGCTCATGAATCCAATATAAAAGTCGTCAACCTGACAGTATGTTTGGCTGTACTTAGCAGCTACCTAACAGAAAGGGAAGTGGAATCTTGAGTGAATAGGTCTTTAAGTACCTGTGTGAACACCTTAAAGCAAAGCAAAACAGAACAAAAAAACACAGATGAAGGTTGACCATTGTGATGGAGAATTCAAATCTGGATTTTGATGTGATATTTGGGGCTCACATTTGAAATTCACATTTTTAGACTTTTGCAAACTTTCAGAGGTGGTGGATTGGCCATTTCTTAGTGGCAAAGCTCTGCAAGCTACTTTGTCCTACCTTTTGGCACCAGGAAAATACTGTTTTTATTTCCTGGGCTTCGAAACCTTCAATGATCTTTTTTATTCTGCTTTGCATTTTATTTTTGCTGTATGATCTTGTAATGACATTGATGGGAAGATTCCAGAGCAGAGCCATTCCAAAGTCACCTGGTTCCCTCTGGGCAGGGCAGCTTTTTCTATGTTGGTTTTCTTCCCTTTTATCTCCCTACACACTCACACTGACAATGGCAGGCCCTACCTAGGATCTTTTGCTGCTTCAAGCAAAGGCCAAGACGAGATTCCCACCCCATTCAAAAGTTGACCCAATTGGGGGTTGAGTCTTATTGCATCTTAAGAGGGCCACATGGCATAAACAGGTTTATCCATTGACATTTTAATGCCCCCCTTTCTTTGCACCCCTGCCCCAATATCTGCCACTGAGACAGTTCATTCATTCTGCTTAATAACAGGGCTGGCCCTGTGCAATGAGATGGACTGGGCATACTTTTGATAGATGGGGGGGATTCTGGGGAACATGGGGACCCTGCATCTCTACAGCCTCTTCTTCAGCATGTGGAGTACTACATTCTGTTCCACCTCTCCCCACCAGCAAAGCACTGCTAGCTGGACATCAGTGGTGGCTCAGCTTTCTGCCACCACTCCAGGAGAACCTCTGAAAACACACATGTTATCCTTATGGTTAGCCTCCCTCTTTGCCAATGGAGCTGCATTCCAACTGCATCCTAAGGCCCTTCTGCTGCCCTTCTGGGGACCAGTAGAATGATCCCTTGAGATGTTGTTGCAAAAGTGCAGAAAAGGACTAATAAAATTATCACAGATTGGATCTGTCTATATGGGATTGTTTGGCTTTGAAAAACAGTGCGTAAGGGGAGACATGCTAGAAGTGTACAAATTTGAGCAAGGCATGCAGAAAGTGGAGGGAGAGGCATTTTAATCCCTCTTCTAGAATACTAGAACCTGGGGTCAACCCATGAAACTGATTGGTGGGAGATTTAGGGGAGATAAAAGGAAGTGCTTCTTCATACCATCTATGGAATTCACTTCCACGAGATGGCTTGAAAGGAGGATTAGACAATCCATGGAAGAAAAGGCTATCAATGGCTCCCAGTTCTGATGGCTGCATGCTACCTCCAGTAGGAGAGGCAGTGTATCCAGGCTGGAGAACGGTCCTGTTGCAGTCATGCAGTCATGTCCTGCTTCTAGGTTTCCTATGGGCTGCCAATTGGCCATGGCATAAACAGAGCACTGGACTGGATGGACCTGGCATGGATCTTCCCACATTCCTGTGCTTGTTATTCAGTTTCTGGGTTCAGTTTATGTACTGGTTATTGTACTCTGACATATTTTGCTATAACTCACCCCATAATTTAATGGAAAGCCCTGGGCTTAGTCCCTGGCTTATCTCAGATTAGAAAAGTCTCTTCAATTAGTCACTGTAGAAGCACAGCCCACCAAAATAAATAACAATGTGGAGGATAACTCCATGGTCAGAGCTGGTTTAAGGCAGTCCATATATTAAATCTTATAAGACATCAGCTGTCTAATACATATTAACAATGCATGTTTTCCATCAGATGATGTGTGTTTTATGGCTGTCAAATACCATCAAGTCAGTAAATGCTATTGCATGCCAACAGTCCAACACTGTCAAATAGGATGTCTGTTGTTTTCAAACTGCCTTCTGAAGAAAGCATGGATTTTACAGAAGCTTATCAGGAATTTCTGAATAAGTGAATCAAATAATAGCAGCCAAACATTTCCTGAAGAATGACAGTCAGTTCTATTATGGCATAATGAGAATTGCAAATGCATATTGCATTACACAGGGAATGTTTGCTTTTCCATAATGTGAGATAGGCCTATATTTCTCCTTTATTTTCCTAGTATCAGTGGTAACATTGATACTAGGAAAGATGGTTGAAAGATCTTCAGATCTCCTTTGAAGCTTATCTAAATCCTGCAATGTACAGCTTTCCATTTCCCAGCACAAGTCATGTCAAAAGGACAACCTCCCTAAGTCAGAAATTTTGGGCTTCCCATCAACCCTAGTGACTGTGACCAATGCTCAAGAATGCATGGAGTTCTATCTGGAAACATCTGGAGGGCACTAGGCTGGAAAAAGTTAGTCTGCCATGTTAGTCTGGTTCTGTCTGCAAAGCAGGCCTGAGCCTAAATCAACAGTATTCAACACACATACTCGGAAGCGTGCCCAAGAATAGCAAATTTGGCTCTGTGTGATAATGAGTATACACCACTGGTTCAAAAGTAAATTTCTTTAGTGGCATCACCACCACTCCACAACCCCCTTCCTCAAAGGGTGGGGGGGTCCAAATATCCAGCCCAGCAGTATTTATTTATATTCTGCAGAAGATCAGCTGGAGAGCAGCTATATTGACTCCATAAAAATTTGTCAGCTGAGTTTATTCTGTTAGAAAAGGCCTGCTGCTCATACAGATCTTTGTTTGCTGTAACTGCAAAAGGCAACAATTCACAGACTGTTTCTGTGACCCAGGTACCCCAGCAATGCCCAGACTCTGAACTCAAAGGGCTCTGAGTAGCTTGCCCTAGCAACAAGTAGGAGTAGAACAAGGCATGCCCTCCTGAGCTATAGCTGATAGTGACCTTTAGAAACCTCAGGCCTCTACACTAACCTGGCTGAAGCTGCCTAGCCTCAGCACAGACATCAAAACAGGGACCACTTGGCCTAACCATAAATGTTAAAGGCCTAAGCTCCCAGTTTGTTCTTGGAACTATAGGCTGCTTACCTAGAAAATACCAGCCACAAAATTTCCTTGATGTGAGCCAGAATAGGCACCATTAGAATTAATGTTCAAATCAATTGTTAGCCTGGAAGTACTCTTGACATGCACAGTTGTTAACCTAAAGACTGTATGAAGGAAAGACCCTGACAGGTGCAGTGAAAGCTGATTGTTAACCTGTACCTGTATAAGAGACCATGCCCAACTCTTTGCTTTCTGTCAGCTTTCACTTTTGCTGCTGACCTCTCTTGCATGCAAAATAAGCAATTCAGATCTCATCTGGGTGTTGCTTCCCTTTTCCCCTGGCAATTGAGACCCTCCAGGAAAAGGAACAAGCACATTTTTGTAACAATTCCAAGGCTCAGAATGAAGATAAGTCATGGGGTGGAGTCACACATCACACTGAACCTACAAATAACTTACTGAACAACCCACAGCAAGCTGGTGGATTCTGCGGCTTGTCATGGTTTGTTCTTCCTCTTCTTCCCCTTCAGTCTCCCAGCCCGCTCAGGCACATATACCAGAACCATCTTATTTTCTTGCCCCTGTCCCACATCTCTGGTTAACCCTTTTTGTTCCCCAGCTTTAAAAAAAATATTTTTCAGGGCCTCACAATCTGTTTTTTCATTTCCTTTTATTTTATAATTGCTCTCTTGCAAGGGCACCCTTAGAGCAGTCAGAGAGGTGTTGCTTTGCCTGATGAATTTCCTTGTACATTTCAGCTGTGAAGTGTATGGGCTAATACACTAGGGGACAAATAATAGTAAAGGGAAGGAGGGGGCAATTTGTGCAATTCAGAAGCATTGAAAAT